GATTGGACTGGACTGTGGGACATAAAGTGATAGTCATGAAGAATGTGCCTCTTAGAGACCAAAGGTGCAGCTTCTATCCAGAGGTGAGATGGGAAGGCAGAGAGAGTTAGGAGCTGGCTGAATGTTCATGGGGAATCAGGGGCAGAGGGGAGGAGTGTACTGTTGCAGAATGGGGTGAGCAGTTGGGGTCTCATAACAACGTATGTAAAAAAAAAAATTTGTATGGGAGTCTAACTTTAAATGTAAACTTCATTTAATTACAACAATTAAAAAAAAGACTAATCTTGTAGATTTCATCAATATAACTGCCACTCACCCATCTTACTACATCATAGAGATTCAATATACAACACATAGGGAGATACCCTTAGATGACAAAATGGTAGACAATCATAAAATACTGGGAATCATGACCCGGCCATGTTGACAGATATTTTAGTGGGACACAACTCCATATATAATATCTAGCTTATCTTCTAGCATTTGTGTATTGTTACTTATGATTTTTATCCTATTACTACCTTGTATTAGGGCCTCTAGCATTGATCCTATTCTATCTTCTATGAACTTAATAGTTGTTTCATTTTATATGTATCCTAGAGAAATAAGAACTGTCAGTGGAATAGACATATGCACACCCTTATACATTGCAGCATTGTTCACAATAGCAAAAAGATGGAAACAACCTAGATGCCCATCAACAGATGAATGGATAAATGAACTATGGTACATATTGTTATGCAACAATAAAGAGCAATGATGAATCTGTGAATCATCTCACAACATGGCTGAATCTGGAAGATATTATGCTGAGTGAAATAAGTCGATCACCAAAGGACAAATATTGTGGGAGACCACTAGTATAAAAACTCATGAAAAGGTTTACACACATAAAGAAACAATCTTTAATGGTTATGAGGGAGAAGAGGGGTGGGAAGAGAAAAATGCTAACTAGACAATTGATAAATGGTAACTTTGGTGAAGGGTAAGACAGTATACAATTCTGGAGAAGTTAGTACAACTTGACCAAGACAAGATCATAGAAGCTTCACAGACACACATAAATTCCAAGAGGGACTGAATTAATGGGCTGAGGACTGGGGACTATGATCTCGGGGTACATCTAGTTCTATTGGCATAATATAGTTTATAAAGTAAATATTTTACATCTCACTTTGGTGAGTAGCACCTGAGGTCTGAAAAGCTTGTGAGCGACCATCTAAGATACTCCACTGGTCTCACCCTGTCTGGAGCAAGAGAGAATGAAGAAAACATACACAAAGGAAAGATTAGTTCACAGGACTAGGACAACTACCACAGCCTTCACCGGACTGATTCAAGCAAAACTGATGGTGTCCGGCTACCACAACTGACTGCTCTGACAGGGATCACTATAGAGGGTTCCAGACAGGACTGCAGAACAATGTAGTACAAAATTTTAACTCATTAAAAAAAAAATGAGACTAAATGAACCCAACCGCCCAGGGGCAAGGACAAGAAGGCAAGAGGGGACAGGACAACTAATAACATGGAACCGGAGTTCGAGAAGCTGAGAGTGTTGACATGTTGTGGTGTTGGCAACCAATGTCAGAAAACAAAATGTACATTAATTTTAATGAGAAGCTAGTTTGCTCTGCAGACCTTCATCTACAGTATAAGTAAAAATAAAGAGGAAAAAAGAAAGTGCAAAAATTTTAATAAAAAATACAATGTCATTTACAAATTAAAAAAAAAGAACGTAGATTACTGACAGAGTTTTGCACTTCTAAAACTCAGGCATCACTCCCACAGCTATTCAAAGAAATGTATCTAGACAGGGAAATCATGTGAAATTAAATTAAATGTGTGATACATGACTACAAAATAATGTGTCTACTTACAAAATAAACACAATTTAGCTGTTGGCAAAGAATATTGAAAATACCATGGACTGCCAAAATAAAGAACAAATCTGTCATGGAAAAAGTCCAGCCAGAATGCTCCTTATACACAAGAATGGCGAGACTTTGTCTCACCTACTTTGGACATGTTATCAGGAGGGACCAGTCCCTGGAGAAAGACATCATACTCAGTAAGTAGAGGGTCAGCTAAAAAGAGCAAGACCCTCAGTGAGATAGATTGACACAGTGGCAGCAACAATTGGCTCAAGCATAACAACAATTGCGAGAATGGAATAGGACCAGGCAGTGTTTCGGCCTGTTGTACATAGTGTCGCTATGAGTCAGAACTGACTTGACAGCACCTAACAGCAGCAACAAATTTAACCTTACTTAATAAGTGTTGAAAATAATATTACTCTTAAAATAAATAGGATATGTACTAATAAATGGAAAAAAATATTTTAAGGAAACTGCACTTCATCCATTTTATAAAATGACCTAACTCAAACTTCTGACCGCATCAGCAAATCCATTAACCCAAATCTCTATTAAAAAATTTCTGGTACGCCACTTTAGTGTGTGTCTGTCCTTTACAAGGGAGATTTATGTATCCTTCCATATAGAATTCATTTGGGCCATAAAAGATTTCATAAGAGCATAATTTTCATATTTCCTGGGTTGGCACAATCTCATAGAATAGATAGTGGTCCAAGGGGGATGGTCCAAAAGCTCCAAGAATCTGCATGAGGACTTTAGGAAATGGATCTTTTTCATTTGAGATTTCCACCATTCAATGACCTTCCTACTCCCAAATTCTTGTAGGAAAAAAATCATTTCTAGAACAAAGATTGAAGCTGAATTTGATATTTTCTTTTGCTGCTTGATATTCTACAGTCAGACATACAAAATATCTTGTACATTTTCACAATTCATATGTTTTCTCCAAGTCTAACCAAGTGGCTGAGACAACTATATAGGCCTGTAGAAAATACTACCTGGCTTTGCTATGTTTGAGTTCTGACTGAAAAAGAACAGCAAAGCTTATAAATAATTGTTCCCTGAGGAGTATAGACTGCGGGTTCCAGGGGACTGAGAGAAGAGGGAGATGCTTGGAGGTATACAATGCAGTTAGCAAGGTTGTTGGTGCCCGTCAAGTGTGACAGAGGTCCCTGGTGAGAGAGTATGTTGAAACCCCACATCTAACACTTTCTTGCAGAGAGATATTTAGGCTAGCTGCCTTACTCCTTAAAAGTCATTGCGGGTACAGTCGTACACTTCTCGCCTTCCATGTGGAAGACCTGGCTTCAAATCTTGGCTGATACACCTCATGTACAACCACCACCGGTCTGTCAGTGAAGGCTTGTGAGTTGCTATGAGGCCAAAAAGGTTTCAGTGGAGCTTACAGTCTAAACATACTAGGAAGGAAGTCCTGGTTACCTACTTTCAAAAAACAGGCAATGAATATCCTATGGATCACAACAGTATGATTGGCAAAAAATTAGGGGATGGAGGAGGAACAGGCAGCTTTGCATTCCATTGTGCATAGGGTTGCCAGGAGTCAGGGGCCTAATGACAGCAGCTAACAACAAAAACAACAACCTCACTTCTCCAAGCCTCCTTGTCCTTGGCTTTATAACAGGAAGAACAGTAGCTCCCTCACAGAGTTGTTGTGAAGATGGCTTATTAAAACAGTGATGGGCATATAGTTGTCAGCTATTGCTTTAGGCAGGAGGTCAGATTAAATCAAGGTTTTCTGATAGGTAGGATCTGCATGGGATGAAAAGAAAGAAGGTTCCAGAATGGGGAGCAACACGTGAACAAAGCCAGAGTCAGCAATGAGATGAAGTGTAGAGAATAACTCTGCTGAAATTTTCAATCTTTTTACCATTGTACAAAGAAGACACAAAACTTATATAATGAATATTTTGTGTATTTAACCAGAGGAAGAATACAGATTCTGTTCCCTGGAGATTCTGATTCAGCAAGTTAAGGGAGAGAAACACAGCCAGAATGTTCCTTAGAACTGAAGATGATGAGACTTCATTTTGCTTAATGTGTGCATGTCATCAGGACAGATCAATCTCTGGAGAAGAACACTGTTTGTTCAAAAAGATGGTTGGTGATAAAAAGCAAGACCCTCTAGGATACAGACTGACACAATCACTGCAATAATGATTGTGAAGTTGGCAGAGGACTGGGTTATGCTTCATTCTGTTATACATAGAGTCACTACAAGTAGGAACCAATTCTTTGCAACTAACAACAAAATGGAGAGACCAAGGAATCTGTATACTAAGAAACACTACATGTTTTGGGGTCATGTGGATTACACTAAGCTTACTAATCATAACACTCTAGCTATCCTATGAGTCTATGAATACATATTTTAATATAATTATTGGACCCTAACTTTTTTAAGTAACTCAAAAAGAACTTCCACCTCTACCATGGAAATCTCTACTCCAGATGTTAAACAGCTATGATTTCCTTATTGCTTGTTGTTGTTGTTGTTAGATGCCATCCAGTAGGTTCATTGCGACCCTACATACCACTGAATGAAACACTGCCCAGTCCTGCGCCATCATCACAATCGTTATGCTTGAGCCCAATGTTGCAGACACTGTGTCAACCCATCTTGTTGAGGGTCTTCCTCTTTTTCCCTGACCTTTTCCTTTACAAGCATGTTGTGCTTCTCCAGGGATTGATCTCTTCTGATAACGAGTCCCAAGTACGTGAGGCAAAGTCTCACCATCCTTGCTTATAATGAGCATTCTGGCTCTACTTCTTCAAAGACAGATTTGTTCCTTTTCCTGGCATCCAGGGTATATTCAATATTGCCAACACCATAATTCAAAGGCAACAATTCTTCTTTCATCCTCCTTATTCATTATGCAGCTTTCACACGCATCTAAGGCAATTGAAAACACCATGACTTGGGTCAGGTGCATCTTAGTTTTTAATGTGACATCTTTGTTTTTTAACACTCTAAAGATATCTTTTACAGTAGATTTGCCCAAAGAAATGCAATGCATGTAAGAAATTAACATTAATGGTGTAACTTCAGGTAAATAAAAGACTATATTTAGGCACACTACCTCCAACACAAGCCAATCCACTTACATGAAATCACTTTCAAGCTTACTGTAGTATTTTGGAAGTTTCAGCATCTCCACAACTTGATCAAAAGCCTCTTTCACTGCTTTTAAACATTCACTGTTATGAGTGCCCAGAGACCTTTGAACTCCTTCAAAGTACTCTAAGAATATGGAAAAGAAATTGATGCATTTAGTATGATTTAATTGTTACCATTTATAGAAGAGAATTCTTTCAAGTTTGCAATTACCTCAGTCTTATGACAAACTTAAGAAACTTCAAAATTAAAGGATTTTGTCAGAATACCAAGAAAAGTCACTAGTAACCAGAGACTTATAAGTATTCTGTTCTAATAATGAACTAGGACAAAGTTTTACCATTTACAAGAGGTAGGGAGAGAGATGCCTCAATTTTACACCTTTCAGATTTATTGGATCAGATAAGATTCTATCAAGGCCACAAAAACCTAAACTGTTTACATTTGAAAAGTTCAAATATTAAAGGAAATTTTACAAGGAATGCATCACTTTTTGGGGGGAGGGAGGGTTGTTCTTTTTGTAAGAAAAAAATTAAGTAGAGATTTTGTATTTTATTCATTTTAATGGGAACATGTATGCAGAAGCCCTAATTGCTAATGAAGAATTTTTATCCATCTGGAGAAATCATAACACCATTAATTATAAATGTTTTATCCCAAAGTCAGGTAGCAGGAAAAAAATTGAGAGACAACTTCAAAATAGGAAAGTTCTGTTCCTCAAAAAAAGAGCTTTTACTTTATTTCTTTGGAAATAGCTAAATCATGATTTCTTTCACTATCAAATCAACAGCTAAGACTTATCACATCATTTCCACCATAAAGAAGCTGTGGCCAGTTATATAGCTGAAATATGGATACTAACTACCAGCTGTTGGTAGCATAGGAATATCTTATGGAACTCTATCCTATGGGAAGGGAGAAAGACTCAAGTTAAGTTGCATGATGGTGTGTTATTGGGCCATGCTTGATTAAGCAATAACTAACAGATACTTTTGTCATTATATGTATATATATAATACATATATGCATATATATACCATAAAAACCCAACCAGTTACAGCCAAGTCGATTCCAACTCATGGTGACTTCATATGTGTCACATTAGAACTGTGCTCCATAAGTTTCTCAATGGTGATTTTTCGGAAGTAGATCACCAGACCTGTCTTCCAAGGTGCCTCTGGGTGGACTTGAACCTCCAACATTTCAGTTATCAGTCCAGAGTGTTAACTGTTTGTGCAACCCAAGGACTCCCATTTGTAGATAGACTCACCATAAAAATTAGCTTTTGCTAGTATCGGTGCACTGCTGCCTGCTGCTGCAGCAAACAGGTCAGGGTGTTTTATTCTCGACCATACTGCAAGGGAGCCGCCATAAGAGCCACCAAATACAACCCATTTATTTTTGGTGAGCCCCATTTTCTTTGCTACTTTAGTTCGGAAGTTGACAATATCAGCCATGGCTTGCCTGCTGCTGAGGTAGCTGAGACTGGCAATACTCAGATCTCTGCAATTAAAGCAAAAAAAAAAAAAAAAAAAAAAAACACTCTGTGACAACATAGCAGAAAATGTGAAGAGTAACATCAGCCTGGCTATAAAGTAAAAATGAATATTATGAAAATGTGTTGAGTATTTATATCAGGTTCGATTTGAAATTTTAAGTACCATAGATATGATTAACAGTGACATGCAAATGCAGGAACTAGCAATAATTGCTAGCATTTTTCTCACTTTAGTTATTTCATTTCCTCTTGTCACCACCCTGAAGGAGCTTCAAATGCCTGTCTCCACCGACTTGGTGACCTTTCTCCATACACTGACCTGAAACACAGCTACAACATTATTACCCTGACTCAGAGACCAGCCCATTTTTGAAATGGCTAAATTGTGAGTGATTTAATTGTCTGCAAGGCATTAAGAAAACACGTAGTTAGTTATACCAATGTTATTTTCCATACTTTATCCTTTGCTGCTACATCTAGACAAACTATTATTTGAACCTAAGTTTCTCACTCATAAGAAAACCAAGTAAAATTTTTGTTAGTTATTTTTCATATTAAGGTTGCCTATAATCCTGGGATGTTTTTAACCCTTATTGCTAAAGTAAAAATTCTCCTCCCCCCTGCGTGATGCTATAACTAGCTGATTATGAATTTCAAAGTCGACAAAGGGCATAGAATATTCACAAAAAGAAACACAAGTAGCCAGCACATACATGAAAACATGTAGCCCTTTCTATTATCAAAGCAACAAAAACATCAGCACTTTTCCTCTCCTATCAAACTGGCAAGATTTATTTTAGTACTCAGTGTTGGCACGGATGTGATGAGGCAACCTCTCCTGTATCACTTGTGGAACTATCTGCTAGTAGAATCATTCAGAAAGCAATTTGTGCTTATATAAAAAGCACTTCAAGAGACAAAACATATACCTTGGTTAAGCGATTCTTCTACTAAGAAGCTACAGCAGAACACGCTTATTTAAACAATAAACATACCAGCCACCCTTCCAGCCAGGTGTGAACTTACTGAGTATGATTGAGCCAATGAGATGTAACTGGAAAACGATAGGGAAGATTTATTGCAATATCCGATTGTAGAATTCATCCCACTTTCTAAGAGCAAACTCTCAGATCCTTATACTTTCTCCCTAATTGCTCAAAATCCAAATTCTATTGTAGGTTCTTTCTAATACATTCTCACTGAAATGTACCACATGAAGTTAATTTGGATAGCAAACAAGTTATTTGCTATAGTTAATTGCAAAAACACAAGTTCCATACTTGAACAGCAGTTTACTTCCTTTGAAAGATTAATAAAGAAATCCTAGACTTCAAATTATTTTTAGACTATAATAGCATTATTAACACACACACACAAATCAAAGTTTCTAATGAAGAAATGTAGAATGGATAGAAATATTGGAGTGTCACAACATTACCAAAAGTTAAGTGACATGCAATTCAAAAATCACATTTCAGGAATCACTGCTGGAAAGGAACTTGTGAAACCTTCAATAATTATTAGTCTCTCATGTGAAAGGTACCAAGAATTATGACTCATATAATAAATATATCTCTTCACTGACACTGCTCACATTCTCAGGGTTATAAGAAGCAATCCTTACTTCTTATTTTAATGATAATGAAAGATTCAGATATTAAATTGGACTTTTTAGAACTTTTAGAGGCACTTTTAAAACTTCATTCTATTTACTTGACTTCATACAATGAATGGTTTATAATTTTAAGCAAGTAAGCTAAAATATATTTTTCTACTGAGAAAAAAATAGTAGATATCAAGAATATACTATTGAGGAGAGTTCCGGCAAAATCACACTCTAGGCAGAAGCACCACACCGTCCCTCCACAGCAAAGATCCGAAAAACTAAGCTGAACAGAGAATACAACAATCCTGAAACCCTAAAACATCCAATGAAGAGATAAAGAACTCAGCCAAGCACCAAATGGAGTGGGAAAACTGACAGAGAACGGAGATCAAGCAGAGATTCATGCAGAGGTCCCCTACTAGCTAACACAGTGCACATCCACCATCTTGGACTCCTATCAGAGACCAGCAAACAGGGGGTATGAGAAAGTACCCTCACAGAGCGTCCAGCAGGAGATAAAGCAAGCAGTAATTTATGGTGCGTGCTTTCCCACCCCCCACCCCTCTTCACCCCTGCTCCGCCTCCTCTGCTTCCCGC